CATATATTGTGTTAGCTAGCTATAATTAATAGAGAGAAGTGTCCTCTCTTATGTCCGTGCTTGGTCGATGCTACGTACTATACATACGTATAGAGAGGACTAGACACGCTAGCTAGCTAGTAAGCAAAAGAAGGAAACAGAAGGATCGTCATGAACATATATGCATACAGAGAGAAGTGATATCGACCACCTCTCCTTCTCCGAGAGGTTGGTCGAACAACAAGTTCTCGTATATCTATCCGACACTACCGGCTACATATATACAATAATTATCTCTTACAAATATAATCTCCTAACATACGGACGCATGGTCCACATAGTATTATCCGTCTTCAGCGATCACGTGGTCAAAAAAGAATGCCGCCAATTCCTCTTGAATTGCTTGCATGCGAGCTGGTGCTAGGAGTTCATCCCGCTTCCGAAACATCTAATTTGAAGAAGGGGGTCAATACATATATATATGAATGAATGAAACTCAACACAAATGATGGTAATAAAATAAAATTGTAAATATTGTTATTTACGCACTTCATATTGTTCGTCAGAGTAGCCCCGCTCACAGGTCATGTGGCGGATGGACTCGCAAACATAGTATCCACAGAAATCATTCCCTTATTCCTGCCACAACCACTTTACAAGAAATAGAGGTCAATCAAACTGATAAGTAAGAATGCCAAATGGTATTGATGAAACTAGCGCTTGAATCACTAGGAGATGTGCGGAACATGCTACTATAGTACTTACTTTCGGGTGTCTAAATTCCAGCTTCTTCGGCAGTCCTGAAGCTTTTTTGGTGAATTTTCTCCAAACCCTGCCAGACAAAAAAAAACAATTACTTGATATCAGAAATGAACAAAGTTGCTGATATGGTGGATAATGGTCGATTTAACTTACTTTTCGAGCATTTGAGTCATGTCCGCATACTCCTGGGGATCTTTTCGTTTAGAGTCCAAGACAGTTACTACTCCCTGCTCAAGCTTAATCTCTAGGAGAATATAGTGGAACCTGCGCACGCATGCATAACTCATCAATTACATTACTATAACCTTGACTAATATATAAGGGAAACCGAATATGCACAAGATAGTAACACTCACTTGAAGTTGTAAGGAAACAGTATTATATCTTTGTTTTCATTTATTACCAATGATCGTAGCAAGTTGGCCTCGGTATCTGCGGCATGAAATTTAACCTCAGTTGCATCTATAAGATTTGTGTTAATGAACCCAATATCACCAATTTTTCTTTTCTTCAATTCGACGATCTTCAATCTGCATAATATAGTGAGGATAATTATAAATACATGCAATGAAAGAGCTGAGCTATATAAAGAGACTTAATGACAGAAGTAGTACTACTTACAGAGAGTAGCAGGTGACCGTTGCTTTATTGAGGGACAATTGATTAAAAAACTGAAAGAACTCCTCAAATGGAACATGCAACAGTTCAATTCCAACGAGGTCATGCTCCTTTTTAACTCTCA